CCCACCTGTAGAAGAGATGACATTGCCCCACACCTGCGTCGACTGGAAAAACAGGAAGAAGATCCCGAAAAACCGGTTAATAGTCAGTTTCCTTTCTTTGTTCTGCATGTCGGCGTACTTGGTGCCACCCTAAGGGAGAAGTATATGAACATATATAACACACGCAGACATATATATGTTTCTATTTAAATATATATTTCTATCTATTGAGTATATATACAGAGAGAACAAGAGAATGAGAAAATTAAAGAGAGAGAGAGAGAGAGAGAGAGAGAGAGAGAGAGAGAGAGAGAGAGAGAGAGAGAGAGAGAGAGAGAGAAATTGAGACAGGCAAGGGTACATAGGGATAGATAGACAGACAGATACACAAAAAAACATCAATACTTCAGTAACGACTGTTCAAAGTATATTACCTCCAGAACACACTTTTCTTCCTATACAACAGCATAGGATTTAGCCACAACACTGTCGGTGCCAAACCAAAATTAAGGTTTAGTATTAAGGTTTAATATTTCAGGATAGTCTTGTGCATTTCTGTTATTATCAATAAAGAATTCATCGGGTCTGCATTGCCTGTCGTCTATTCTTATCTTTTAATAACATTTATCTGCTACACTTTCACGGCCGCACTGACTTGCAGTGTTCCATCCATCACAACTTACACCACCGCAGCATCAATACCACCACAACATCAACACCACTACACCAATCACCGCCACGGCATCACCACCACCACAGCATCACCACCACCACAGCCTCATTACCCAGACCACCTACCTCTTCTCTCGTCATCGCCCTCATCACATCATCACCACCAGCTTCACATCACCATCAACCCACCTGGTCATCCCCATCGACATCCGGTCACCACCACGGCATGACCACCACAGTATCAACACCACCACGGCATCACCTTCCTCAACATCTACTCAGTCATCACCTCTACTGACTCTATCGCAACACCTGATCAGGTTTTTGTCTTTGATCACTGTATTTCTTGCAGAGAGTTGCCGTAAAACAAACTTTAGTGATTTAACCCATTGCCGCCGGGGATGGCATGTACGTACATGCCATGCCCACTTTGAGTCGACTTGTTCGATTACTTTTACACATAGATGTCTACACTTGTACTAAGTATCCAATGAGCCAATTACGAGAACTGCATGTCTCGCCCGTTCACCCTTTTCAACGATTTACGAAAATGTTTAACGTTATCCTAATTTGCTGTTATAGCACTAGTAAAAATACGTTTTTTTCCCGCCAATTCAAGGAAAGGTGAAATCATTGGTGAGATATTTCACAAAAATATAAAAAATGAGTACTGCATTTCCCCCATTTTTTGTTCATTTTCCCCGGCGGCAATGGGTTAAAGGCCATAATGTAAAGATAAAGAGAAAGAGAAAGATCATAATGATAAGATAAAGATAAAGATAAAAAACAACATAAACCTTGGTGAGATAAACAAAAAAATATATAAAAGCAAACAAACTTCAGTGAGATAAGAGACAAAAAAATGAAACCTTGGTAAAATGAGACAACAAAAACACAAACCTTGGAAGAAAAAAACAAAAACAAAAAAACGAAAACTAACTGAAATAAAGACAAGAAAGGAAAAACTGAATGAGATAAAACCACAAACCCTAAGAAGATAAAGAAAAAAAATAAACACTGAAAATATACAAAAAACACACATACAGACCTAAATGAGATAAAAAAACAAAAAGAAAAAAAAAATCTTAACGAGATAAAAAATGACATCACAAAATCACAAACTTTGGAGATAACAAAGCAAAGCAAAACAAACCTTACTGAGATAAAGGAAAAAAAAACCACAGATTATAAAACCGTACTTCGATAATAATAATAAAAACACAAACTTTGCAGAGAAAAAAAAAGAAAACCACAAACCTTACTGAGATATAATTTAAAAAACAAACAAACCTTACTGTGACAACGAAAAAAAAACATAATGCCATAAAAACCACAAACCTCGGAGAAAAACAAACCACAAACCTTACTGAGATGAAGAGCAAAATAAAGCAATAAAGCACAAATCTTATTGAGATAAAAAAAAAACAGAATTAATAAAAAAAAGATAATTCGGAGAGATTAAAAAAGAGTATAAATTATACTGAGATAAAGAACAAGAACAAAACAAAACAAAAATTAGAAACCTTACTGAGATATACAAAAAAACAAACAAACAAACTTTACTGTGACAACGCCAAAAAAAGCCTTAATTCGATAAAACCCTTAGAGAAACAAAAACAAAACCAAAAAATAAACACGAACCTTATTGGCATATCGACAAAAATAATTAAAAGTAATAATTCGATAAAATCCACAAACCTTGGAGAAACAAACAAAGAAAAAAAAACACGACCACCCACACTGCCATACCGACAAAAAAAATCCTTAGTCCGCCAGAACCACAGACCTTGGTGAGGTACGTGCACTTGGCTGACCACAGGGGCCCGGCGGCGAGGCCCAGCAGGAAGCCCGAAGGCACCAGCAGGAAGACGTTGGGGTACATCTGCACGGCCATGTAGGGCAGGAAGCACAGCATGCAGACGACGATGGTGTTCTTCTCCCTGAGTTTGTTGATCGCCAGAGAAGGAAGGAAACTGCACGAGATGATCATGCCGATGTACAGAGCGGTCATCCCCGCCGTGCCATGAACCCTGTGGGGGGGGGGGGAGGCTTACTGGGCGAGGGACGGGGTTATCTTCTGAGAGAGGGGGCGGGTATATATGTATGTGCATGTATACACATACATATATATGTGATATACATAATATCTATATATATAGATAGACAGATAGATAAATAGATAGATAGATATAAACACACACACACACACACATATATACTGTGTGTACATATATATATGTGTGTGTGTGTGTGATTAACAGACGGAACCGGTGACCTCGCCTCGTTCCCCCTCATTTCCTGCAGCCGATGCCCCACACCACGTGTCCGGCGGGCGCTCGCAGCTTGTGCCCGAGCATGACCCCTTCGTCAGTTCGTGTCCAGCGGCCGACGTGAGAAGGTGAGTCCGGCCTACGCCCTCAGGCCTGGCTGGCCGGACACGCGACGCACGCTCAGCTTTTATCCTTAGATACCAGTAGCGTGTGTCCCTTTACATGTGTTGCGAGTCGTGAGTACGCTGACTACCATTGTTGTTCACCATGAACCTTTTTTATAAGCTGGTGGCAGGGTGGTCGTTGCGTCCTTTTGGCTCGCAACGCAGACACACAGGCTCCGAAATCCGCTCGATCTTCGCTTCCCCGATCGACCACGTCTTCGAAACCACGTGAGAACACGCTTTGGGCCTCGTCATTTCTCTTCCCTCCCTTCTTCTCCCATAAATGTGTTAAACCGTATGTGCAGTTAGTCTCAAGTGACAGCAAATGGCACGTTCTTACACTATTCTTCTGACTTTAGATCGCATTACTGTGTGATCACGGTATGAGGTCAACAAACATGAATATCGTCCATTAATCGAGTATTTACTTAATTTCTCTCGTTATTAGAGATCTTTAATTGTTTCAACGAAAAAAAGACGAAGATAAAGTAAAAACGAACATTAAAAACTGCAAATGTATATAAATATTCGGCTAATGGCACTTATCACCCTCTCCTCGCTGTTGCTTTTCTTTTTCTCTTACTACCTCGGCCCTTACGTGTATAATCTGGTTCACCGATATTCGACACGGCACCGAAGGAGGACCCTGCTGCAGAAACGGCCACCCTAGGATGCTGTGGGAAGGACGTCACCGGAAGATCGCCATAGGCCTGCGTACCAGGATGTTCGTCAGGGCAGGTATTAAACCGCCACAGGATGTAGTGGAAGGGCGCCGCCTGCCGGGGCGCCCGTAGACCCAGCGAAGGACCAGCAACTCGCCAGCGCAGGTACCAGTCGCCCCATGATGCTGTGGAAGGGACGCCCGCAGAGCCAGTAAAACTCCAGGAGCTCGTCAGGTATCAGCCGCCCTGAGATGCCGAAGAGGGCGCCTCCTGCCCGGACGCCCGTAGATCCAGACGACGAATACGCGGCCCCGCACTCAGCGCTTACCCAAGACATTGTCACGTGCGTTCCCTTACTGTGCTGTATCCTTCCTTCATAAAGAGTCAAGCCGTTTTAACCACTATCACTGCCCAACCATTCATAACAAACTGTACCAAGGTTCTGTACCTCTTACATACATATATATAACTCTAACGCAAGAAAAAAAAAAAAATCCAGAAGCAACTTACTTGTTGAGAGAGGACTGCAGATTGATATTAGAGTTGTAGCTTGTGAACTGGAACGTGAAAGCCAGGGAGATAAGGAGGAGATTTTTCGTAATGGCCAGTTTCACTTGCTTTTCCTCCTTCGTCAGGGCCTGCCGGGGAGACGCTTCTGTGGCAGACCCGCCGTCGACTGACTTGTCGGCTGGAGCTGGGTGGAAAATTTGTTTTTTATTTATTCATTCATTTTACTGATTATATAAATATGTATATATATATATTTTTTTAGAACTTTTTCTATTTTCTTTGGAAGTTCGTTGGTTTCTCAAGAACATGACGATTATTTTTGTTGATCAGGATCATGGGGTAGAAAAAAGAACGGAGAGAGAGAGAGAGAGAGAGAGAGAGAGAGAGAGAGAGAGAGAAAGAAAGAGAGAGAGAGAGAGAGAGAGAGAGAGAGAGAGAGAGAGTGAGAGAGAGAGAGAGAGAGAGAGAGAGAGAGAGAGAGAGAGAGAGAGAGAGAGAGAGAGAGAGAGACAGAGAGAGAGAACCGCAAAAAAGAGCGAAAGGGAAATGAAGAGACAGAGACAAACAAACAGAGAACAGATAAATAGATAAGGAGAAAGATCACTTACCCTGAGAACCACCATCGTCTCCCACGAAGGAAGGATTGGTCACTCCACGAACAGGTTCCAAACTGGCCATTGTAATCTTCGCCACACTGGCATGAAAGAAAAAACAAAAACAAATGAAGAAATGAAGAGGAAGAAAAAAATCTAACGCGTTGATTCTCTTAACAGAAAGAAAGGAAAAAAAATACTAAACACAAACCGGTTTTATTGAAATCCTGAAGAGGAAAACAAACATGGCGACATGATGGGCAGAGGGCGTTGACTTTCCTTGACTTCAGACGTTTGACATTCTTTCTCTTTTGACTTTTTGACTCTCTCAGACTCTCTTTTGATTTCTGACCTTCTCTTCCTTTTAACTTCAGGTCTTTTTACTTTTTCTTTTGACCTTTTTTTTTCTTTTTACTTTTGTTTGATTTCAGATTTAAAAAACGACTTTCTTTTGAATGTCTCTTGACTTCTGACTTACTCTTACTTTCCTTTGACTTTCTTTGAACTTTCTCTGATTTTCTTTTGACTTCTGCTGCTGCTCTAAAAAATATCTGTCTGACTATCTATCTATCTGACTCTGTCTATCTGACCATCTAGTTGTCTATCTATCTGTAAATCTATCTATATATGTCTGATTACCTATCTGTCTATCTGTGTATGTATGATAATCTTACTATCTGACTCTATCTGTCTATCTACCTTTCTAATCATTTATATATATATATATATATATATATATATATATATATATATATATATATATATATATATATGACTACCTGTCTATCTTACTATTTATTTATCTATCTATCTACCTGACTATCTACCTATATGACTGTCTATATATTTATCTATCTATCTATTTATCAATCTATCAAATATGTGCGTATATATGGTCAATTGGGCCAAGCCGAAAGTTCTTTGTAAAAGAATAATAAATATTTTGTTGAATAGAAATTAACAATTAAGATAATACATAATTTCATATTTGCACTAATTATATTTTTGTTTGTAAATAGATATCAGTTTCTTACGCTTTTCTAAACGACTGATTTGCGTCCGCCGTCCACCAGTCTTGAAATCAGGTTAATAACAAATTTAACAACCATTCATCATTACCATTAATCACAATATTACCATTTCGAAAGCTGTTAGATGCACGGATTAGTTCGTGTGACTGGCTATCATGACTACAGTACCCGTTTTCTATTCGCTTTGCGGTTACAGGTTAGGTGTAACGCAAGTAGAAACTGCTCATGCAACGATAATTATATATATTTTTTTAAAGTAGTTCATAATAAACTAGAGGTATTATTCTATAAAAAGGATTTTAAAAAAGTCAAAATAAAAAAAAGAAAGAAGACATTTGTTACCTCTTTTATTGCTTTCCAGTTATCTCTCGATCCAGAAAGAAAATTAACACACTGTTAAATGGTAGAAAAACCCAAAATGTAAAACTAGATTTATTGAAAGTGAGTTATCTCATTTTCAATAAATCTAGTTTTACATTGTGGGTTTTTTTCTACCATAGTATCAACATGGAGAGTGCTTTTACCATTTACACTGTTAATAGTATCAACATGGAGAGTGCTTTTACCATTTACACTGTTAATAGTATCAACATGGAGAGTGCTTTTACCATTTACACTGTTAAATGTTGCTCGACTGTTAAAATACGTTTCCTCATTGCATTACCTCTTGTCTTTAATCCCAGAAAGCGATTGTGGGATAATAAAACATATGTTGGTCAGTTCATGCCAAAATGAAAGTGCTGGGAATAAGTAGGCTGACCGACAGACTAACAGGACTAGTAATATATGCAGGTTTAAAGTGTATCCTTTGAAGTGAAGCAAAACAACCTATTGATTCTGCAGCGAAATCATTATTATTAGTTATTTAGTTATTAGTTATTTCTTAATCTCTCTGTTATAAGATTTAACCTTTGAATTAAATCTTACGTATAGGTATTTCGAAAACTTATTTAGATAATGTTATCCTGGAAAACCATGAATATATACTTTTTTCTCTGAAGATGGCAGCTAAAATCTAAAATTCGCCGTCAAAAGGGTTTTGAATTTGATAAAAGTGTCATTTATAATGGTATTTTTTTCTCGTCCATTCTTAATTTTTCAATGTATCATATAGCATGAGGTAAAGTGACAATATAAATATATATATATTTTACCTGCGGAATGTTACAATCACCCGCCCCCCTCCCACACACACGCACACAAAAGAACAACATGCATACATAAGGACACACACTTGCAAGGTTCATGTAAAACGAAGAGAAAAAAACATCAAAAGAATACATTTTTTACAGCATGCACATACACATAAACATAGACACACACACAAAAACAGACACACACAAACAGACACATACACACAAACACAAACTCTAATACAGATAGACACACATACACAGCAAACACAGACACACAAACAAACACATACACACACGAACATTCCTGTATTTATTAACGAAATGAGAAAAGATCCTAAAAAAATATGTGGTTTGAAAAGTGTCACGGGAGAAGTGAAAGTAGCAACGTGGATGGATGGAGAGAGAGAGAGACAAAAAGATATAGGTAGATTGGTTAGTAGGTAGGCAGGTAGATAAATCGATAGATAAATAGAAAGACTGGTAGATTATATGATGAATAGCTAGATAGATTGATAGACAGAGACAGAGAGATAGGTAAATTGGGAAATAGACAGATAGACAAATAGTACTGTAAATTGATAGATACACAGATCGTAGCACAGGTGGCTAAATAGGTGCATGGATAGTTGGATACATAAAAAAGTTTGATATGCTGACACAAGGATAAGTCCGACATGCGAAGCTGAGCCTCGCCCGGGCTATGCCCATGAGGGGGGCCCGCCCTGTGTAGACTAATGTCGACTCGCTAACAGTGTGTCAGCTGGTGCTGTGCTTTGTCCTTACCCGCCGTGGTGCCCAGCCACAGCAGTAACCTCCAGGCGACAATTGCAGCTTCTTGCGCCTGGGCGGGGCACGAACCGCCGACCCCTCGGGTGGGGCCGGCACGTTACCACTGTACTAGCCTGGAGGCTATATATATGCTGACAAATAGACAGACTGATGTTTAAAGCGAGCGAGCGAGAGAGAGAATGACGATTGTTAAATAATGTTAAATATGATAACAATGTTTGAAATACAACAAAAAAACAACAACAACAAAAAAACGTTGATAATAATAACATTGAGATAATAGTAATGGTAACAACTAAATAACCGAACATACTCTCACACACACATAAGCCACAACACAACGTAATCGTAACACATTCCTCTTATTCACCCAACAGTACTGAA